TGGCATTGGCCAAACAGAGGTTTAACTTGAGGCTCTTATTTTCGGGTTTTTATTTTGGTCTATTTCAACCTTGATTTAACAACTGGAAATACCAGACGAAAAGGGACATAAAAAAGAGAAGGCATTTCATTTCACCATGGACTCAGCCTTCCAGGAAATACCACCATTCCACAGCGGCAATAAGTGATACTATAGCCCCTACCCAAAACTCTTCACCTCCTGGTTATGCTGGACCAATTAGGGGGCCATTGACATTCCCCACAACAATGGAGCTCACACCATACAACTGACACCACAGACACTAAAAAATAAATTGCGATCTATTCCTCATTCACACTACAGCCCTCTTCCTGAATGCAATTCCTTCTACAAAAGCAAGAACTCTGGTCTTTGGTCTCTCACGGCTTCAGTTTTATGATACGGTCCAATCGATGAGGATTTACTTCAGCCATAATTTTCAGTGGCAAAGCTTAGGATTTTAACTGTCTTTAAATGTATTTCTCTAATTTTATAATAATTTTCCTACTTCTTTCTTCTCCATGTACTATCTGAGGAAAGTTTTACGTAACCCTCCCACTCCCCACAAACGTACACACATGTACCTTTGGCTGAAAGAGCTAAGTCCGAGTCGTAAGCAAAACATGTACTTTAGTCTCAGATGTTCTCAACGGATATGTTCAAGGGCTTAATGGTCATAGCACACTAAGCCATGCCACGTCCTGCATGACTCTGTGAGTCATCAACCCTACCGCATCCAGCTCTGTACTCTGTTCATGTCCTGCAACCACGTCTTCCTGGATTCATTGTCATTTCTTGTTACACTTCGAGTCCGAATGCTTTATCTTCCCCCTTCTTTTTCTGGAATAAACCAGAGCATTTTAGATGTTAAATGTTGCCTCTATGAAACAAAAGAAATCGCCAAAGTGGGTCTCTCTCTAATCTTTCTGGGTCGTCTAGTATGACTGGAAGGTTGTTGGCTAACAGTGCAGGAGATGTCGCCCTCTAATGGAGAAAGGTTTTTCAGGCGCTCACCGGTTCAGTGCCACCCGTAAAAGGTCATTTGGCTTTTTGCTCTGCTTCCATTTTGCCAATCATCCTCCCAAAAAAATTCACTAAAAACTCAACTCTCTTTATCTTTCCTTACAAACCAGTTCTTCATTTTACTTCTAACACATTTTTCTTTATAAAATTAATATATGCTAATTGCTTTAATATTCAGAAAACACAAACAGATCAAAGACAATAAAAATCCCAAGAGTCAGAAATAATCACTATTAACATTTTGAACTTTATAATCCTTCCAGTCTTTTTCTCTGCACCCTCAGAAACAAATACACAGATACATGTATCTATATGTAATGTTAGAGCGTTTCCTAAAATGGATTTATATACTTCTTCTTTCCATGTGACAATAGATCGTAAGTGTCTTTTGTACCAGTTAATATTTGTTTCTTTGATAAAAAAAAATGATAGTTTCTAAATATAAATGCTAACTGCGACCAACAAAATAATCCAAAGACTCATAAAGGTACACACACACACACACGCCCCAAAGTTAATATCCTGTTTTGTAACCACCTAGATCTTCCTCTACCTCACAGAAACTTTCACACACATATACAGAGATTCTAGCTTTTCTTTACAAAATGGGCTCTTGCCCTATATATTATTATGAAAAAAACTTTTTCATGCAATACATCACAGATATTCCTCCAGGTCAATAAATCAAGGCCTAATTCCTTATATTAGAACCACATTAGTAGAACACAGCATGGATATACCATAATTGCCATCCCTCGTCCTATTGACAGACATTCAATTATTCCCAGATTTTTGCCTTACCTACGTGCTTTACTGCCTATAAGATAGATTCTCATAAATAAAACTGCTGGTCAAGGGTTGCACACTTCTAATTTGGAACATTTTAGAAGTTTCCGTCAAATTCCTTTGCAAAGAGTTTGTAAAAATCCCAACTCTTCCCGGCCATGTAGGAATGTGCCTGTCCCTGCAGCCTTACCAGCACTAAATGCTATGTCCCTCTTTCACCTTTCCACTCTGAGGGTTGAGAAATTGTACCTTGTTTTTACTTTCACTTGCATTTCCTCAAATACTGGTTCACTTTTGTGTTTTTTATGTGTGAATATTCCTCTAAAATACATGTTTAAAGTCTTGGGATTTTAACATATTAGCATACCATTGGTTATTTAATCAATCTCCTCCTATCACATACAAGAGTTTTATCCAACGTCTTCAAGTTATTAGCGATACTGCAATTAAGATCCAGCTCTATTTTTGTGTGTGTCTACCTATTTGCTCAGACTAAATTCCTGGAACTGGAATTGTTGTGTTCATGAGCACTGGTAAGCAGAGCAATTAAGAGTGCGGGTCCTGGGGGCTCAGGTCAGTGTCTGACTCCCGATTTCAGCTCAGTCATGACCCCAGCATCGTGGGATAGAGCCCTGCATTGGGCTCTGTGCTGGGTGTGGAGCCTGCTTAAGATTCTCTCTCCCCCACTCCTGCCCTTCCACCCCTCTCTAAAATAGGAGAGGAGAGGAGAGGAGAGGAGGGGAGGGGAGGGGAGGGGAAGAGAAGAGAAGAGAAGAGAAGAGAAGAGAAGAGAAGAGAAGAGAAGAGAAGAAAATAAATAAAATAAAATAGTGTGGGTTCTGGAGTCAGACCGTTTGGACTGAATTCTAGATTTATCACTCTCTAGTAGTGTGACTTGAGGCAAGTTGTTGAGCCTTTCTTGTTTCAGTTTCCTTATCTGCAAAGTGGAGATAATAATATAAAACTCAGGATTGTTGAGAAATGAAACTTGTTAGTACAGACAAAGCTCTTGGAACAGTCTCTGGGATACAGTAGGTGCTAAATAAGCACCTGCTAGTGTTACAAACACCTTTAAGGCTTTCAACGGATGTTAAAAGTGAGTTTTGACCCAGGCACTTGGAACCCAGACTCCAGAGCCAGGTTCTCACCCACTCTGCTTACTGGCACTCAGGAACACAACACTTCCAGGTCTGGCATTGAGTCCGAGGAAATAGAGAGACATCCACGAACTAACGTACATGGACCTTAATGGTAACAGATGTTCCACCTTAAAGTTAGGTGCCTGAACAAAATATTCAAAGGGCGAAAATGAGGGCCTTCTTCCTCCCTTGGATCGTTTAGGCAGAAAGGGCTGCAAGTTTGGAAGGGGAAGTAGGTGTGACCAGCATGTCTCCGGCTGAGCTGTGCTGGGGGCCCTCATCAATGGGGGGAGGAGGGGTGCATGGTGATCCTCATCTCAAGCCTCCTACCCTCTTCCCCCACCATGGTCCGTCCTCTGACAGGCCAGAAGATGCAATTAGCAAGTAGACAGACAGGAAGAGAAGAATGAGAGAAGGTGACTGAAACCACTGTCCGCAAGATGGGTGGCCCATCAACCACAGACGTCAGCTGGAGGAAGGCGAGGAAAAGCGTCACCTCGGAATGAAGGGTGAAGTGTGATTTGTATCTTGGACTGTATACTCTTCATCTCTGAGGCAAGCCGGTGTTTGGGACTTTGACCACAGGCCAATCTATTCCACATGAGTAATCAGAAAAGTCAGGGCGCCAGCCAAGTTTTCAGCGAGGGACAGGGGCAGATTCCACCGCTGAATAAATTTTCAAGGGGTGATAGGAGATACAAACAAAAAACTCATCACGCCTGTTCAACGTAAAGATCCCACATAATAAAACACTGACTTCCAGAAAACTTGTCTCCATTTACTCTCCAATGAGCCGCGTAAGGAGTCTGTTCTCTCCTCGCCCCAAACCCTCATGATCTACAATTTGGTTTCCCAAACAGACTTTAATTGCGTGAAGAGAACAAACGGAGAGGCTGACACAGATACGTTGTTTGGCAAGTATGTTTCTAACGGGCCAGCCGGTCTCTTAGGAGATTAGTTAATGCAAACAGGGCCTGTAGAATGAAGTCACTTTGGGAGTTGACGAGTCTGGTTCCCACACGCCCACCTGAGGACCAGCCCTGGGTCTCCCGCAGCCCGGAGGCTCCAGAGGGGGTCCGAGGCCCTCCGGGAAGCCAGCTGGCTTCCAGGTCTGCGTCTCTTTAGCACCATTTAAGCCGCAACCAGCAGAACAGCCGGCTTTGAGGAGGGAGCGCATGAAATGGCCTCCGGGGACCAAGAAGCTACACGTTCACGGACTAAGAGATCCGGTGTCTAATTGCCAAGCGGCGAGTCGTCGAGCATCTCATTGAGAGGGAGCATTTGAACGAGGAGCCGAAATAACCCCGACTCCATTCGGCACAGAATGAGAGCTGAGCCCCACGATGAGCAAAAATAGCAGGTCTGCGGGGCCGTAGAAAGGTGCTGGCAGTGGGGCGTGTGCGCATCGCCGTGACAGGCAAACACAACACCAGGAAAACACTTAATCTTCCTGCTTATCCCCAGAAGGACTAATAACCAGGGTGAGAGGGAGCGCCGCATCCTTCTTCATTTAGAAACGAGCTGCCCCTAATGCCGTGCTCTCCCAGTTTATAGACCAAATACCTGCTCGCACTAAAACTGCCACATATTATAAACCTCACCGAGGAAGTGAATCCATCACGTTCCCGCTCCCTCAAGGATAGTTTTTCCCTGGAGTACATAACCCATTACTGCATATCTTGTAGAAATCAAATGCAGACTCCATACTCCACCACAGAACAAATAGGTTTTGTAGGGGGAAAAAAAAATGCACAAATCATGACATTTTGTTTTTCTTTTAGCTTCAAGGCTTTTATTTCGTTACGGTTACTGTTCTGTTCTTTGTCTTTAAGTAGCCATTCCTCCGGCATCCCTCCCCTGGATTTGAGCCAGAGCTGAGGAAAAAAACGTCACGGTCACCTTGGTCTCTGGGCGCAGACTCAAGGGTGGCATCCAGGCCAGTCTGGACCACAGCGAGAAGTGGGTTGAGGGGTGCGAAGATGTCTTTCAGTTAACTTGCACCCTTTTCTGACTCTCTCCCCCTCATTCATACAGGTTCCTGACTTCATTCAACCGAGGAGGGCAACCATTTCTGCGATGCCACTGACACGAGGCTCCACAAGTTCAGGGGTTTGTCGTTCACCCCTGTGTCCCCGTGCCCAACACAGGGCTTGGCACACGGTAAGCCATGAATGAGGATTTGGCGAAAGAATCTCTATGTGAATGAAAGAGTGAGTTGAGTACATTTAAAGACAACTATAGGGCCACCTGGGTGCCTCAGCCTGTTAAGTGTCTGACTTTTGACTTCGGTTCAGGTCATGATCTTGTGGTTCGAGAGTTCGAGCCCCACGTCAGGTTCTGCATTGACAGAGCCTGCTTGGGATCCTCTCCCTCTCCTTCCCTCTCGGCCCCTCCCCTGCCTGTGCTCTCTCCCTCGCTCTCCCAAAATAAATAAATAAGCTCAAAAAAATTCAAAGACAACTCTAAAAGGAATCCAGAGATTGATTCTAATGCTAGACGTTGAGGACATTAATGCTTGTGGCATACCTTCTGTGTATCAATGATAGGCAGGGCACTTGAAGGCTCATTTAATCCCCACACACCTCATACTCAGCAGTTGTTGCATTTATCTGGGCTTGCCTCTTCCAGCCCAAGCTGCAGCTGGAAACTGAGTTGTTTCCATAACTTTAGAAACACAAAGCAGTGATGACTTTAAGGAATAAAGATCTCAGTGGTTTCTTGAGTCAGCCTCCTTCTTGTGCTAGGTCTCATCGATATGCCCAGCCAGATCGATGGATCAATCCATCTTTTTTCTTAAATTGCATAGGGAAGGTGGGAGGAGTCAAAAGTCACGTTTTAAAATCAGAGAGCACTTTTACACACTTAAAATCATGTTAAACGCCTGGGGCTTGGCTCACTGAATTTATCCTTGGCTTTAAACTCGTCCAGAGTGGTTAGAGATGGTTAGAGCCGGGAAAGCAACGCGACCCAACTAGGCAAATGACAGTGCTCAGTTTAAGATCTAAGAATGTGCAGGTACGCCGAGCTTCTGCAGCACTTTAGGGACACCCCGAAATGTCACAATAACTAACAGAATCTTAAAAGGGGGCTTAAACCAAGGAGATCCTGTTGTGTTTTGATGTATCCCCAACACCACACAACCTTAGTTATCTCTCTTAAACCTAAAGTTTGGAGAGAAGGGATTATTTTAGTTCTCTGAGTGGTTAAATTGTAGATAAACAAGAGCATGTGGGGGCACCTGGGTGGCTCAGTCAGTTGAGCAACAGACTTCGGCTCAGGTCATGATCTCGTGGTTTGTGAGTTCGAGCCTGGCGTGGGGCTCTGTGCTGACAGCTCAGAGCCTGGAGCCTGCTCTGGATTCTGTGTCTCCCTCTCTCTCTGCCCCTCCCCCACTCACACTCTGTCTCTCTCCTTCAAAAATGAATAAACGTTAAAAAAAAATTACACAAGAGCATGTGGCACTTTGCTTCAAGGAACAAACAACGTCTGATGCATGCTGAAGCCTCTGTGGGCATGGTAGAGCCCTTTCTTAGGCTAAGTTTTGTCAAATGGACATCATGACATCATTTCCAATTTTCCTACCCCTGAAAAGACGTATTTACGTTCAAGAAACATATTTTTCCCCCTAACTTTCCTTCCATTGTTGTATCCAGGATGCAACAATATTAAGGACCATCATGGTCCAAACGGAGAACTTCCTGTGTACATGGCTAAGTGGTCAAGGCCTGCCTTTGTAGCTCATGAACGTCATTCAAGATAAACCATTATCTCTGTTGTGTATGATTCTAGGCTGAAGCACAGCTGAGCCTTGCTCATTTCAGCTCAAGAAAGAGAATTCAATAGGCACAAAAACTCTGTTTAAGTATTTGTTCTCAAGGAAATTGCTCAAAACTTGCCTACTATATGCAGTTTATGAGTAATAAGTTAGCCATTTTCATGATGTCAAAACTCACGGTCATGTGAATTTAAGATAATCCCCAAAGTAATTGTTTAAACACAAAGTAATATCTGGTTTTAAGTGGAGGTTTCCAGGAGAGCTTAGGGGCCCCTAAACTAGGAACTTTAATCTGTTAGTTCAGATGGAAAAGGAGCAAGAAGGAGCTTTCTTCCTTGATTCTGATATTCTCCTTCTTGGCGTTGTTGCACAGACCCAGAGATTCATTGGACACTATCTCAAACTCCATTTCGGTAGCTCATGGCAGAAAAGTTGACCATCTCTATAACTTTCGTGTCCTTTTCTCTTCCTTTCTTTCTTCTTTCTTTCTTTCTTTCTTTCTTTCTTTCTTTCTTTCTTTCTTTCTCTTTCTTTCTTTCTTTTAATGCTAGATTTGATCTCCACTTGAACTTTTTGTCCCCTCGTCCTTCTGGTCTTTAAAACACAGCATCAGAGAAACAAAGCTTTGTATGGACTAATATTCCTGGGCTTTCCCCACTGAAGGTCCATCTTTGTATATTTTCACACATGAAATTGCAGAGGAGATGGCCCCACTGTGGAGAAACTCGTGGACCCCACTGAGCACAGCCCTCTGATTTCAGTCTAGGGAACCAAGGTCCAACATACAGGACCAACATGAATGAGGAGAGAGGGCCACCTTCGTTCATGTGGCTTCATGGACGCTCCCTCACTGCCAACAGCCTACCTTCCCAATTCTACTCTTTTCTCGATCCTGACTCAACATTCAAAAACTTAGAAATCTTTCTCGTGCCTCATTTTGCATTGTGCAGTTATAAAGACTTCATTTCAATTATCTCCTAGATTAGGACATTCGAAGTACTGGTGGACTGTGTAATGTGCCAATGAAAAGTCAGGTTTCCTTTTCTAGAAGGTCCGTTGATTCTTAACTTTTCTTCATATTCTCTGCCACCCTCTCTTTACCCACCACACACACAAGCGGCTGAACTTTTCCATATTTCCATCGGCCATATCTTTCTGCCCAAGTGGTCAAGCACATTTGTTCAGATCCATTCTCTCTGTTTCCACGAAGCTTTGATAAAGGATCCCATCTCTCTGGCTCCTCCTCCATCAACCCTGAGTGACCACATCTGTCTTTGGACACACGCCTTAGGGCTACCTTGAGGGTGAGGCATGTCAGCCTAATTCATAACTGCATGATAGTGATGCTAACAGACATTCACAGGAAGCTCGTCAGGGACCTAGAAGTATTCTTAGCCCTCTCAGAGGCTAACTCCCTTAACCTCTACAATTAACCCTACCCTAAGTTCTGTTATTGTCATTGCACAGAGGGGACGTCTGAGGCACAGGGGACACCTGAGCTGCAGGAATTGAAAACAACGTGGTCCAGCGTTACTCGGCTGAGAAGCAACCGAGACAGGTTTTAAACACAGGCAGTCGGGTTCTGGAAGCCCCGTTCTAACCACTGTGATATACTGCCTCTCCCTATGAGGAGGACAGACAAAGAAGGCGGGCCGCTTCAGCCATCAGTCCCAAGAAAGAATTATATATCCACTCAGGTAGTACAGAGATCATTATAGAGTAAAATACAGCAAATATTTTGGTCTGAGTATTTTTGGACTGTAACCATTTAAAAGCAACTTTCATTTTATTGGCAGGAGAATTACAGATTTCTATGCTATAAACAGCAATGGACTGAGGCATAAATAAAAAAAAGAACGTTAACCATTTTCTATCTTTTGTAGAGAGGAAAGGGAGTTTTCTGTAGCCCATAGGCGTTTGTTGGTGGGTTGAGAGGTCTTTCTTTATGCAGATGGGCTTTCTGGCTTTAAGTCTGCTGGAAGCTTTTATTTTCTAGATCTTGCCTGACAACCAGTGTTTCACTCACTGTGGGCCCCACACAGCTTCTCATAAAATATTTTGCTTCTAAGTGAGTTGTGAGTTGTGAAAATGGGACTCACAAAATGATGACAGAAATATTGCTTTTAAAACCCTCCATAAGGCTTCATGGTAACAAAATAGAATGTATGAGGGGGGAAAAACGTCTAGTTGGTGTTACAAAGGTGTACAGGAAATAGGACAGGGTTTCTTTTTATTTGAAGCCACTGAAAAAAATCATTTAAGGCCATAATATACTCATACAACCTCTTTTGTTAAAAATAATATTGAGATTGTACCAAAATAATTTCCCTAGAAATTACATAAGACACAGATAACATTAATTTCAGTGACTTATTACTAGATAAAAATGAGGAAGTACCTTCTATACACTGTTAAGAGGAAAATTAGAAGAACATTCTCCTTGTGAAATTTCAATGAAGGGCAAGTGACAAGAAGACATCCCGGATATTCAGAGCCTTGGAAACTATACTCCCTGTGTACTATTTCTGACTTCATTATTAAGGATGTGTTTTAGCAAAACACAAAAGCAAACCCAGTTGAGGAGGAAATCTGAGCTGTAACAAACAGGGAAGCTAGCCAAGCAGTGCAGTATAAAGAAAGTCCCCAGTGCAAACGTGGAGCAAACCCAGAAGGTCCACACAACACCGATAGACAGTCTGGTCTGGAGCCATGTCCTAGTGCTATGGCGAATAGGCATACTTTCTTCCAACAGTCAGAATCAGAAATGGCATATAGAACCTTTGAAAAAATATTACAGATTTTGCAAAGAAACCAAACATGGTGTGATCTGGGGCACGGTGGAGGAGAAAAGCCGTGTGACCTCGATGAGTGAAGAATTCCCCTGACAAGGACATGAGGTTAGGCGTAGGGCATGGCGTGTCTTTCCCTGCTGGCCAGTTACCCTGCTCAGCTCTGCAGTAAATACTCTTTATGTGGTTATGGCGCGACTGCCCTTCTTTACAGGTGTAGGGCCGAATGGAAATTACTAACCTTGACAACATAAAAGTAAGGGTATAACCAGCCCAAATTGGGAAACTTATGGGGAGGAGAGGTATAGGAACGTATGGGAAGGTAATTTCTTCATTTGACCTAATGAGAGTGAAGAGATACTATCGCGAAGTAGAGATTTAAGGGTACTATTTAGTTACGAAAGCACAAGTATAAAGGAACCACCTGCTAATAAGTACTCCCACCGACACTTACCGTGACATAAAATCTGTGATTTACTTCAGGTTACTATTGTCCTGAGGGGGCAAAAAAAAAAAAACCACAAAAACCATTCTATCCCCTCTTCAGATGTCTCTAATTCAAGACACCTCTGATTCCGAGAAGCTCCTCCTGATTA